CCTGTGGCGGGGGAACCCCCCCCCAGCCGCTGTTGCTGCCTGGGACGCAGGCGTGGCCACTGTGCATGACCCAGTCGCCGAGTGACACCTACCACCTCCCACGGCAAGGGCTGTCACTCCCACCCCGGCTCCCAGGGCTCGCGGTGACCCCGAACAGACATCACTGGACAGCAGAGTTGGTACAAGGACGTGTTCCTTGGGAGCTCGGCCCAGGACGCTCCGCGCTCTGGACAAGCACGCCCCTCCCCTGGCCCACGGAAAGCTGTGAGGACATCTGCACACACCCACTCGCACACACACACACTCGCGCACACCTGCATAGACACACACCCGCACACGCACTCGCGCACACACTCGCACACACACACACTCGCACACACCCACTCGCACACACACACACTCGCACACACCCGCGCACACCCACACTCGCACACACACACACCCGCACACACCCACACTCGCACACACACACACTCGCCTGTATGCACCCACCAGAATGTATGCTGGGTCCCCATGCCAGGGCGGGGTCCCGGGGTCATCAGTAAGACATCTTCCCGAGAGCCCCAGGACAGCCCTGGCGGGAAGGGGGCGGTGACCACGGTGCCCTGGTGCGGGCAGTCGCCACCAGGCAGACCACCGCTCCCCGGCAGTGGAGCCAGGGCTCTGCCAGGCTGGCAGGCGGCTCCCCAGGGGCTTCCCTATAGAGGCACAGGTTGAGCCACCAGCCCAGCATGGGGGACAGCCCTGCCCCAGGCACCCAGCGGGCCGGCTCAGCTGGGCTTGACTCGAGTTCTGGGTGACACCTTCAGTAGCACCAAGATCATAAGGCAGAGTGGCCAGGCAGGAGCGGGGCGTGGACAGAAAGGAGAGGGTGCCGTGGGCTGGGCCTGGACACTGAGCGGGCCATGGGTAGGCGGGACTGGGTCTTCAGGCTGGGCCTGGACATGGGGTGGTCCTGGACACAGGGTGGACCTGGACACGGGCTGGGCCTGGGCATGGGGTGGGCCGCTGACAGGGAGGGCTGGATCTGTGGGCTGGGCCTGGACACGGGGTGGACCTGGATGCGGGCTGGGCCTGGGCATGGGGTAGTGGACTGGGAGGGCTGGGTCTGCGGGCTGGGCCTGGGCATGGGGTGGGCCTGGACGCGGGCTGGGCCTGGACGCGGGCTGGGCCTGGACACGGGGTGGACCTAGACACAGGCTGGGCCTGGACACTTGGAGGATCCAAGAGGGAGGCTGCAGCCAGGGTGCTGCTGGGAGACGGAGGACACTGAGAACGGGCGAGGCCGGGGAACAGAGTGAGCTCGGCCTTCCCCATAAATACACGATCACATGGTGAGGAAAGCGGCCCCCGGAGGACGCCCACCGCACCCCTCCAGGCCACCAGGGCTCCCTGCTGCTGAGGCTACAGCCAGCATCTGTCCTGGGGGAAGGGCTGTCAGGCTCGGCACAGGGATGTGGTGCCCCGACACCAGTCCACACATGGCCTCAGCTGGCCTCACCTGGACATGGCCGAGGACCCCGCCAACAACCCCACGTGTGCACGGCCGACCTGCGGGCGCTCAGGGTGCAGGGCCTCCCCTTCCCGTTATGACAGGCCCTGCCCGCCCTGCACCCCATCCCACCCCCAGGGGACTTGGCTGCCCTCAGGTCGGTCCCCATGACCTAAAGCCTGGGGCGAGGGGAGTGTGGTGTTGTGTAGAGCTGCCCGGGTTCCAAGAGGACTGGGCATGGTCTCATGGCCATGGCAGCCAGCCTGTCCCTCCCACTCTGTCTCCTGGCAGACCCCAGAGGGATGCAGTCACAAGTCACAAGGGGACAGGGTGAGAAGCGCCGCTCGGTCTCCAGCGCCAGCAGGCAAAGACAGGTCACGTCACGTCGAAGCAGAGGCCAGGACTAGCTCTGGTGGGCGTGTGGGCTTCTCCCCTCTGGACGAAGCCTGCGGACAGTGAAGAGGCTCTGGCCTCCGGGTGGCTCGGCTCGGTCTCAGAAGTTCAGAAGTGATGGCCTGCCTTCACAGCCTCGATGTCCGAAATCAGGGTTCTCGCCAAGAAGATGCCAAATATCTGAAACCGAAGGCAATGAGGCAGCAGCCCTCAGAGCGGGCCTATCACAAAGTGCAGGGGGCAGGGCACGCGGGTCCTCCGCTGTTGGGGCTGCCCGCTCTCCCCCGGGCCCAGGACTGAGTGCATGCTCGGCCCCCAGCAAAGCACTGCCGGCCGCAGGAGTCCTGGTCTATCCTGGCCTCTCCTGCGAGCCCCGAGGAGCAAGCAGGCGCCGCTCGGCCCCACCAGGCTGAGCACACCAGCAGCAGGGCGGCCGTTCCGGTCTCTGGCTAAGCTGGAAGTGACAGGGTCAGCCTGACTGTCCAGACTCCCAGAACGACAAGTGCAGAGTGGTGCCCGGAGCCTAGATTCCAGTCACGCCAGCAGCACGGGCGCGGCCCCGGCCTGGGCTCTGCGTCTGAGGCCGCCTCTGACCTGGCGCGGGGAAAGCCATGAGGGAAGGCTGACCGCCCCAGAGCCCACGCACCAGGGCGCACTGGCTCCTCCTTCACGCTCAGTAGCTCAAGTGCCGCCGGAAGCCACCCGCTGACTGCGGGAGGGGTTCCAGGGTGGCTTCAAACAGGTGCCCGTGTGCACTCGAGCCCAGGATCCCGGCCAACCTGAGGGCCAGGGAAGGGGACTGTGTCACGACCCCGTGTGCACTCGAGCCCAGGATCCGGCCAGCCTGAGGGCCAGGGAAGGGGACTGTGTCACGACGGGACCTGAGGCGTCTCCCACACCCACCAGTACACACACCTTTACGAGTAAAACGAAATTTAAGAGCGGGCAGCTGCGTGGTTTGTCTTTGACAAGACCGCCCTTCCGAGGTCCGAGTCCCTCACCCACTTGGCAAGGGAAACCCTCTGCTCTCCCTAGAAGCGCCGCCTCACTGCCCCACGACCACTCACACCCCTCTGCATGGCCAAGGGCAGGGTGTGTGCGGCTGGGGAGGCATGTGCCCCTTGGTCTCTGCTGGCACGTCTGCTGTGTAGCCTTGCTGTCCCAGGGCTCGGGCTGCAGCTCCTCAGTCCCAGAGAAGCTCCTGTTCTGAGCCCACATCCCACCCCCATGAAGCTGGGCCAGGTGAGCCACACAGTCCTGGGAGGACGGGCAGGGGGGCTGCAGAGCTCCCGTGGGGTGCCTGAGAGCCCCAGTGCGAACACCAGGGAGTGAGGGACACAGGGACTGATGGCAAGAACCAACCACAGGCTTCCTCAAGCTCCAGTGGG